TGTCATGAAATACACAGAATACCTTAGAATTTCAGGAAATCTTGAGTATACCCAAGAATCCTGCTTTTTCATTCCCAAGTATCAAATATTCATGTCTGTGGGTAATTTGGAAACATTGTTCTCTGGCATTTTTATTCATCTTTTACTAAGTCACACACTTTACTACTCAGCATTGGGAGACGTGCTGCCGCCGCTGCCACCGCGGGTCTTTTATTCATCTTTTAAAACAGGAAAAATCACCGGTCCTTAAGCACCAGTTCTTGCTCTAGTATCCTATCACTCAATAAACTATGAGGACAGAGGGGAAACAAGCCGACCCCACTGAGCAGGTAAGCAGGAATCGGTTGGGAACCAGCCGAGAATATGCAAAGACCAGTGGTGGTGAAGGATCTTAGCCTATGCCCAGCAGGAAGGAGTGAGCACTTTCCGGCCTGGGGCCAGGGCTTCCCACCCAAACCAGGGGCCAACTTTTCTTCCTTGGCCCTAGGGCTGACCCTCTTCTCCAACATAGTCACCTCTTTCATCATCGCCAGTTCTGTTTCCTCTATAACACAGGCCTGTGACAGGAAGATCCAGACTGTCTCAGGCACAGGAAGTCCAGAACCTGCTGCTTCCTGTGTCTGCCCAGAAGTTCTCAATAACTGTCCCTGGGGCTCCTGCTTACCTCACACGATCTATCCTGCTCCTCTGGACCCAGGACCTGGGGCCTCTGGGGCAAATTCACATCAGCAGGCATGTCTCCTCTGGGCTTCAACTCTTGGTCTTTCTTGCAGACAACTCCACTTTTCCCAGGAGCCTGAAGCTGCGTGGGCATCTGGAGGCTCCAATCAGAGCTGCTGGGGAGAGGTGGGCTGGGCTATGAAGGGAGGTCCTATAGCCTCGAGGATGTGGCCTGACCCAGGGGCTCTGCTGAGACACCAAGAAGCCCTGGAAGGGCAATGACTACATGGTCACTCATCTAACATTTGCTCCACACAAATATTTCTGGGGGCTCTTAGGTGAAGGTCACTATGCTAGATAAATAACCAAAGTTCAGAAAAATCCAACTCTAGTTATTAACCAGTGAAAAATAAAGAACGACTGTAAGTTTGGACCAAACTTAATGGTTTAATTGCAGCTCTGCCACTTTTAGCTGTGAGAATATGACGTTATCATGTTAGTTCTAGTTTCCAAAATAAGGAGGAGGATAGGGATTGGGCACTGGGAAACTCACAGGACATGAGGCTTATTAAGCCTTCGGCACCTGCCTGGCATGTGGTAAACACCGAATAAAAATCAGCAGGTTGCAAGTCAGGTACCTTGTTTAACTTTCACACAACACTGTCAGCTAAAGAGTATAATTATTATACTCATTTTGTAGATAAGGAAACTGAAGTTGAATGCTGTTACATAGTTTGCATTAAGGTCACTCAGTCTGCAAAGAGAATCAGACCCACGTTCGCCTCATTCTAAAGTGCACATAGTCGCCACCATCCAATGTCATCCCCTATATGGTCAGCTTCCAGAAACACCATTTCCATTTTGAACTAGCCATATCTGGTATGCCCAAGGTTCTGGACATTTCAATGCCCATCCATAACACCCTAGACATCTCAGCCTTTCCTGACAAAGATAAAATTTAAATTCACTGTACTCAACCTCACCTTGACCTGAAAAAACTGCAGACCGTACCAGGACCCTAATCACTTATCCATTTCTGGCTTGTCCACAATGAATTACCACTCCCACCTCCCACCCCCAACACACATGCAAATGCAGTCACTGACAGCTCTGACCTCCAGAAATCCCCAATGAGTGGACCACAGGACTGTCAAAAGGTCACAAAATGCCTCCCAGCCACTGAAATGGCCAGGTTCCTGAAATCATCACTACCCGGATTGCCAATAAATGTTTCCCAGGAAGTGTGATTTCCACAGGACCCAAAATAATCCCCAACAATTGGGTTCAAAACAATGCACCTCAAAAGGAAACCATCATCAATCTGCTCAACTGTCAACCACTGACCTTTACCGTGTCCACAGGCACCCAAGGAGAGGCCAACACTGACCCAACCATCCTTTCCTGAAGGACCCCAAAACTCACTGCCTAGAAAGCAACGCAGGCACCCTCACAAGCCCCCATCACTTACTTCCTAGGCTTCTGGTCGACTGGTTCTCATATGCTACCCTTAGCACCCCACTTTACCGATTTCATAGGTCACTAATCACTGCCCCCGAGTCGAGTGTGTTATAATGTGACCCTCAATGTCCTCCAATCCCTGAAGCTCCTGCTCCCAGTCAATCACTGCCTTCTACAGTCCCTCAAGCAAGTGATTGTTTCCCCTAGTGTCCCCCACTGCCATCTACTAAGCCCTCTTAAGACGCACCTTCATTGTCCTCAAATGAGCAAGTTTCATGCGCCAACAATATATAAAATCTGACATTAAAGTACACTTGGAATTTAAGTTACAAAAATACTTACACACATACAGAAAATATGCAAAAAAAGTGAAAATTAACGAGCCAATCTCCCAACTTAAATTAGAAAACGCCATTTAGCCCACAATCCCCATCACTAAGAACCCCATCACTCACCCCAGATTCCCTCCCATCACTTTGCAGACCCGACATCATTCATGCCACAGACCACTCACTGGTCCCCCAACCACTATATCACTCACACCAAGTTGATTTCACCTCACTAACCCCACAGAATCCCCACTGCTAATATTCCAAATCACCTCAACATCTTGCATGCGACACACGGGTAAGAACCAGTGGACAACGTAGGCGAAATGGCCACTCTGGCCCACGTCCAGGGCGGATTGAACTGTGCGCATGCTCACTAGAACCTTTGAAGCCACACCTGCCAATAGTTATCATGGCGTATTACAGCGTAGGTATTTCTATTCTGCGGTTCACTTTCCTCCTGGGACTGTCAGGCAAACGACATGGCCGCGACCATAGGGACATGACAATAGAGGTCGCCATTTTCAAAGAAGTTTTATTCCGTACAGCCAGGGCTTGAATTTGCAATTTCACAAATAAAGTCTTGGGGCTGTCCCATGTTGGCAGGGGAACTAGAGATTTGGATCTCTGGTATAATTCAAATTAATAAGTGCAATTTAGCTTCGAACTTTTTGAAAGCTTTCTTTTCTTTCTTAGCCTCTTAATGATTCTGCTTGCTGTATATTTACTATGCATACCAGTTTCAATGTTTCTATTTACTTAGGCCCAGTGATTTAGGAGAGGTTTTGCATCTGTATGGGATCCACTCTCCTGGCTCCAACTTAAATCTACATAACGTATGCAAAGGTTGCAATAACCAGCTTAACCAGCTTAACTGCACCTTCTCCCACCCCCAACTATAGGCCAAAAAAATTTACATCCTGGTTAGAAAATTTAAAATTTGAGAACAAAGACTCGAGGCAGTAGTTTTCAGTAGTTTCCAGCAGACTGCCCAGCTTTACTCCTCTTACTTTAATAAATCTTACTTCTATATTTCTGTCTGACTTCGTGAATTCTTTCACCGCCCGTGAGCAAGCAGACACAACATATACTTGTGTGTGTGTATATATATATATATATATATATATATATATATATATATATATATATGTGTGTGTGTGTGTGTGTATTTCAGTTTCTTGGGTTGTGAGGATTGAATAATTAAATTATCACATGCAAAATGTTTAAAACAGAGCTGCTACATGAGAATGAGCTGTTACATGAGAAATATAATATAATATTTATTCTATTTCATCCACTCAACAAATATTAGGTTCCTATGATGTGCTCAAGAAAAAATTGCTTAAGGTCGTTGTTTGCAAAAGTGTTTGAGGATTTCAACATTTTTCCCAAGGACCATTGGTAATCCTTTGATGTTCAGATTGCTGTTTTGAATCATCATGCCATCATTCTTACTGATTTTTTCTTATTGTATTAATGGGTCTGACTCTTCTAGATCCTTCCAAATCTATAGTTCTGGCACATTTTCCAAACATCCATTTCACCTTTGATTTCATGAAATCCTGAATCTCTTGAGAAATTTTCAATTTTGCCTGTTATTTCTTTGCATTATAGTCACACTGTATTGTAGGAGGTTTGCATCATCAGAGAGACTGAATGAGGTAGATGTTTGTGATATAATGATTTGTAATAAGAAATGTAATATGAAATATTTGGTCTTCTGGCACAGAGCTCCCATAACCTTTGGAATTTCCTAAGTGTTGCAAAAGATAAAGGTGTCTTTTGTTATGTTAATGAAGTGACTTTGGGGAAAGCAAAGGTAGGTGGGAGCTGATTGCTAGGGGAACCAACCTTGTGATTAAAGGGTTGGAGATTTCAGTCCTACACCACCCTCCCCCACCTCTGGGGAGGGGTTAAGGGGCTGGAGGTTGAATCAGTTGCCAAAGGCCAATGATATAATCAATCATTCCAATGTAAGAAAGCTTCCATAAAAACCCAAAAGAACTGGGTTCTGACAGCTTCCAGGGTGGCGAACACATGGAGATTTGGGAGAGTCCTGTGCTTGATGGGAAAGAGCCTGGAAGCCCTGCACCCTTTCCCCCTACCTTGCCCTATGCGTCTCTTCACCTGGCCATGTAAGAGTGAAATTCGGTAAATCAATAACATAATTAGACTTAGCTAGTTTGCAGTTTTTTTGGGTCCAGACAATTAACAAAGAGGCTGGATGTCAAACTAGGTTCCGAAGATCTTATTAAGCTAAGCTCAGCAACCGCCTCTCCAACTAAGGAGAGATGGCGCCTAAGACTCAGGGGATAGGGTTTTTATAAGGCAGGGCTATAAGCAAAGCAAGTTACAGAAGCCAAAAAAGAATGTGCAGTTATTCCAGTTAAAACCGCATCCCGCTGTCACAACAGTACCGTTATGTTCAGATGTCTTAACAGTATATGGTGACCTGGTTGAGCTGACCGCACAACCTGTCCCTCAGAGATATGGATAATCAATGTTAGAAACTAAGGACGAGGTAGATAAACTAAAGTTAACTGTTGCAAAAACTCTTTGAAGTATTAAGATAGAGGCCAGGGGAGTTAACTTTTGTAAGGCCTTTTGATATGTTAAGATATGGGGGGAGTTAACTGCTGTGAAGCCTCTTGATATGTTAAGATTGAGGCGAGGGGAGGGGAGGAAGGGGGAACTGAGGAATGTTTTTCTTTAACCTTTTATTCCCCAGCAGAAGCAAAGCAGGTGTACTGAAGCAAAAAGAGCTGTTAGTTCTTAGAGTCTAGCTGGAGTAGCTGAAGTAGGATTTTTTAACATGAATCTGTCCGGCCTAGGGTCCGGGCCCGGGTCCCTTCAGTTTGACTCACCGCATAGCTCGCTATCTAGCCACTTGTAGTTAGACTTAGTTTGCAGTTTGATCCACCCTGATATTCAACTATTTCCTCTTTGTTTCTCCTCTCACTGATTAACTGAAGAACTCCGTTTTATTCCCTTTCTCAAGTTTACCCATAATTCCTCGTTAATCCATTTGATCAACAGAATCCTAACCTGAAAAGAGCAATTTCTTAATCCTCAGATGTCCAGATACTGGGATACACATAAAGCCCCAGGCCTCAGTTGTCCAGTCCGAGTCTGGAGTCCAGAAATAACATTGTCTTAAAAACAGACGAGGTCCGGCCGAGTGGCGCGATGGTTAAAAACTGGCTTGGGACGCCAGAGGGCCCCGGTTCGGATCCCACATATGAGGGCCAGNAAAAAAAAAAAAAAAGGGGCAACTGAATTATACATGCAAGAAGAAAAAATGGTGGGATTTCTAAAATAATAAACTAGAAGACTGAGCTGGAAGAGCTAAGAAAGACAGAAGAAGCTGACAAAATGTATAAGGTGAAAAGAATTTCAGATTTGTGTGATGATTCTAATTTCTGATCTGCCCAAAATAAAGAAAGTGAGTCATCTCATGGGAGCTGTCCACCACAGAGCTAAACAGGGTAACAGGACACAGTTTAGGCTCGGGGACGTGAGGGGTTGATATAGGATCATCAGAAAAATATGAGGCCTAATGATCAGCATACAAGGGCCCTTTAAGACAATTCCTATATGAAGGGATGACCAGAGGGAAGTATAGGGCCTCAAGCTGGTGACAACACAATTACAGGATGAAAGAGAAAGGAGATCCAGCACAGAAAAGAAAAATCAATGACTTCAGGGGGCAAATAAAAAGGAAAAAAGGCCTTGAGAAAACTCCATGGACACAAAGGGCAGTGTACACAGATCTGATGAGCTCCTATAACTATTCAGTTATGAGAAAAAAGAAATTAAAACCCTTTGGGTAAGCCCTTTTACCCATCACATGGGCCATAAATGAGAAATTTGGTACATGCTAAGTGTTGGCAAGCAAGGTGTGCAAATGCGAATCCTGCGCACAGCACATGGGAGTGGAGGCTGCACAGCTCATCTGAAGAGCAATATGGTTTATTAGTCAAAGTAAGTATATTTATATCCACTCCAGGCAATCCCACTCCAGAGTATCTACCTGTGAGAAACTGTTACACCCATCCCTATGGGACATTTACAAGAATGTATCGTGGCATTAGTTGTAGAAACTGGGATTAGGAGGCAACCTAAGTGTCCACCACCGTGGGAATGGATGAGTGTGGTATGTTGAATAACGGCCCCTCAATGATATCCACACCCGCTAGGGTAACAGTCACTCACCTTGATGCCTGTGATGTGGAAGTTCATCCTCCCCTAGCCATAGCTCCTTTTCTTTTTCCATCCTGAAAATGACCTCTGGGTTGGGAATGTGATACCCTGTGAATGAGAAAGGATATTGGATTGGGATGTGGTCTTGAGCTTTAGGGGCCGTTCAATGAAGCTTTGCATGGGCTCATCAGAAAATTCAACATCTTTCACTAAGAACAAAGTAATACTCAAAGATGCCCAAAAGGAATGAACAATTTCAGACAAAGAAAGACAAACCAATTACATGCTACAGATACCCCACTGCATTCCACAAGAAGGAAAGAACTCTCCCTGACGAGGCCCATCCAAGACTCGCAGGGCGGGTGTGCTTGCTCACCCACGGAGACAAGGTGGCTATAGATCTCTAGCATCACATCCTGGTACAGGCTTCTCTGGGCAGGGTCCAGATGCTGCCACTCCTCCCTGCTGAAGTCTATGGTCACGTCCTCAAATGACACTGGTCCCTGTAACATACCCCAGTTCAATGTGAATTAGTCATCACTGGTAAATGGGGAAGATAGAGACTTGTTTTTAATTTTTAAAAAATTTTCATAGTGTTGATGTTTCTTTCTCTTTAATGTTTTCTATTATAAAACGTTTCTGTCAGGCTGCTATGATTTTTTAAACACACTGAAATATATCATCTTTTCACAATATATGGGTTCACAGTGGTAAAAAGCCATGCATTTGTTATACCTTTTGAAATAGAACATCTCTGTAATTTGAGTATAAACCTATCACAGTACAATGGTGTACTGTTTATTACTATGGCCACTCATTATTATTTTAAAATACAAGAATAAAATGTCATGAAATACACAGAATACCTTAGAATTTCAGGAAATCTTGAGTATACCCAAGAATCCTGCTTTTTCATTCCCAAGTATCAAATATTCATGTCTGTGGGTAATTTGGAAACATTGTTCTCTGGCATTTTTATTCATCTTTTACTAAGTCACACACTTTACTACTCAGCATTGGGAG